GCCACTCACAGTCCCAACACTCAGGGAGCAAGTACCCAAACACTTAAGTCAGCTTCTGGGCTTCCTGCTGGTCTAAAAATTGCATAAAAGCTGGGGCCTGGCCAGAGTGGCTCAGTGGTTGAGTGTTGACCTATGAACCAGGAAGTCACAGTTCCATTCCAGGTCACATGCTCAATCCCCAGTAAGGGGTCTCTAGGAGGCAGTTGATTGATATTTCTGTCTCTCTGTCTCCCTTCTTTTTCTCAAAAAAAATAAATAAATAAATAAAACCTATTTAAAAAATAAAAGTACTTTGAAAAATTGCATAAAAGTTGGAAATTGCATAATTTAAAGATGACTTTTCTTCTTAGGAGGTTAAATGTAAAACGTTTTCATATGTGAACCCAGACAGTTGATATCTTGAAAATTACACTTTAGATACAAAATAATATAAAAGGATTGCAAACGGCAAAGACTACATATTCTCTTTCTGATACAAAAATGTAGGTTGGGCCCTCACCGGTTTGGCTCAGTGGATAGAGCATCGGCCTGTGGACTGAAGGGTCGTCCGTTTGATTCCGGTCAAGGGCATGTACCTTGGTTGTAGGGAGGCAACCAATCAATGTGTCTCTCTCACATCGATGTTTCTCTCTCTCTATCTCTCCCCCCTCCCTTCCATTCTCTCTAAAAAAAAAATCAACAGAGAAATATCCTCAGGTGAGAATTAACAAAAAGATATGTAAATATTTTTCAATTACAGTTGATGTACACTGTTATAGTAATTTCAGATGTACAACTGCATGATTAGACATTGATATAACTTACAAAGTGATCACCCCAATAAACCTAGTACCCATCTGGCACCATCCTATATAATAAAGAGCTAATATGCTAATTAGACCAGAGTGCAGAATGACTTTCCAGAATGACCTGGGGGCGGGGGTGGGGCCACGAGGCAGCCAGGGCTGCAAAGGCTTACTCTTGCATGAATTTTGTGCACTGAGCCTCTAGTATATACATGACAGGCAGTAAAATGCAGGTGTCCCTACCACTGGGAATTTCTCACTGGAATTTCTCCCAGGCTGTGGCACCTGCCATATTGTCCCACTCCACCCGCCTTCATTTCTTTCAACTTCTCCCTTGAATTCTCTCTTTTTGGGGGGTCCCTGTCTCCAAGTTTCTGTTAACAAACCCCGTGACGGTGTTTATTTCCCTGTGGTTAACCATCTCCCTTCAGCGATGTCCCTGGCACCTCCGCTTCCTCAACCCAAGTGGCTGATCGAGATATTTTCTTTTTAAAACGAAACTGTTCTCACCCTGCGGGCTGTGCCCAGGATTGCCATCTGGCGTGCGCGTTGCTCTCCCGAGAGACCAGCCCTCCAGGTCCGCAGCTGAGCCTCCGCGCTCCGCTCCACCAGCTGCCAGGCTGCGGGTGGGCCTGGGAGCCCCGGGAGTGGATCTGTCAGGGGAAAGGCCGCTTTGGGCAGCCCCTTGGCAGCCTGCCATCAGCCCCTGCTGGCAACGTTCCATCTATCTTAGCATCACAGACCAGGCCTCAGATATGCGGGGTCTGGGGAGGAAACAGATCGATGATGGCCAAGAGTGGTGTGTGTGTGTGTGTGTGTGTGTGT